CTGGCAGCCACCGTGCTGGTGTCTGTGTCTATGAGTTTGAGTTTTTTGGGTTTTTCCTTTGTTTAATATCCCTTCACCACCCAGCCCCCCGATAAATAGTTAATGGGAGTCTTCTAAAATATAACAAAATGTTGATTGCAATTGTCTTGTAATCGTATAATTATGTGAGTTTTTACGCTTTTCTGAGATTTTCAAGTTGATTATTTATTATAGCTTTTACAAAAATTAATGAATTACAAGAATGTATATATGTCCAAAGAAAGAAATACACTTGGTCATTTCTCTGGGAACATATGCATTTAATGCAAGTTTTCTAATTTAGACTCCTCATGAATAGCGATAAACGGATCTTCGGCAGAGTTGCTGATAGAAAAGTGAGCATTGCCATCAGCAGAGACGTAGATCTTCATTCCTGTACATTTGTTATCAATTTTATCTCCGGAAATCACATCGCAGTATGTGCCAGCAGGAAGACCAGTTTGCAAATATGCACTTAATGGCCTGTAAAATAAGAGTTAAGATTTTACTTGAGTTCAACACAATTAAAGGCAAGAATACAGATTATCTCGTGCCACAGAGCTTAGCAGTGCAGGGCTCAGTGAGAAGAAAACCCAACGGGAAGACGTCTGGGGGGGAGTGGAGAATTTCCCGGGCATAAAGTGACCCTGCGGAAGACTGAGCGACGCCCTGGGCACGAGCAGGTGCCACGAGGCAGTGGGGCGAGGACTTCGTCGGCTGGCGGCGGCTTGGGCCGTCCGGCCCCCCAGGAAAAAGCACTTCCTGCCGTAAACACAAGTATTTTAAATTTGTTCTCATCTGCACTTAACGAAATGCAAATACTTTCACAATGTTCAATTTGATTATTTCTTTCTAAAAAATGCCTTTTTCCCCAAGAGGCTAAACTGAGCTTGGGCTGGAGCGCGCGGTCCAGCAGGCCTCCGAGGGGCGGGCGGTCCTGACCGGCGCTGTCCCCCGCATGGGCTCCGGTCCCCTCCCCAGCCCCAGCCTCTGTGGGCAAGAAGAGATATGTTTGTTTTCCTTTTTGTCCGCAGAATATAGCTCAGGCTGGAATGAGCTAAGCAGAAGCAGAAGCTGCCCTTGGACAGAGACGTCGGAACCACTGCAGGGAGGCCTCTGAGCCGCAGCTGTCAGATGTCAGACTCTCCTGAGGCGACTCGCTGGCGTGGGACACGCGTTCCTTACACGCGGCTTTAAAAAGCACTGCTACGGGGAGAGGGAGCGGAGGGAAAGACCAGAGGCCGGGAGCAGGAGCAGGGAAAGCTGGAAGGGGGCAGCGAGGCAGCAGCCCTCCGTCACTTGAATGACGGGGTGCGACACGCTCCCCGCCTGGCTTCACCGCCTGCCTCTTGGCGGCTGTGTCTTGCGTGAGGCGGATACGGGAGCGTGTACACGGGCCTCTGTCTGCACACGATCCGCAGGGTGCAGAAATCACTGCGGGGAACAGAGCCCCGATCACGGGGAGGCCGGAGGCCCAGGGGGAGGAGCCACCGTCATTGCCTTCCTGGCCCTTTGCCCATCTCCCCGTCCCTGTGTCCACGAGCAAAGAACCTTTCAGATGCAGGACAAGTGCGTGAGCAGCAGGCGAGAGGAACCGGCGGGGACACGCGGTGTAGCCACTCACCACTCGTCATTGTTGAAGACGATGAAGCCCTTGTTCCCTCTCCCGAAGGCGACCTGGTTGCTGCCGTTATCCCACCAGTTGGCGAAGGGCTGGCCGTCCGCCACGTTGCGGAACGTGACCATGTTCCTGAAAGCAAAGCACGCGTGACTGCTGCGAACGCGCGGGCGGCTCGAAGCTAAGGCTTAAGGAGGCCCCACCGGAGGGTCTCCTAGGAGCAGCCCGACCTTATCTGGCGCCACCGGTGCTCACAGACCCAGCCGTTGCCACAGGTGGTGTCCGGGTTGATGGTGACCTCTTTAATCACCCCATCATCGTTCGGTGGCCCCATCCAGTCGTTAATATCCTTCAATCGCAAAAAGAATGAAAAACGCTCAGGTTTTTGGTATGACATAGCATTGCATCTTCCCTCTGCAGTTGGCCAGCCTCGGCCTGTCCCCGCGGTGTCCCTGGAGTGCGGCCGGTTGGAGCCCAGCGCCCTCGGCGGCGCCCGGCCCCACGGCTCGCTCCTCGCCTTCCCCGCCTCTCTCCC